GAACCGACACAATCAACAAACTACAACACAATCAACAAACCGACACAATCAACAAACCAACACAATCAACAAACCAACACAATCAACAAACCAACACAATCAACAAACCGACACAATCAACAAACCGACACAATCAACAAACCGACACAATCAACAAACCGACACAATCAACAAACCTACACAATCAACAAACCAACACAATCAACAAACCAACACAATCAACAAACCAACACAATCAACAAACTACAACACAATCAACAAACCGACACAACAAACCGACACAATCAACAAACCGACACAATCAACAAACCAACACAATCAACAAACTACAACACAATCAACAAACCAACACAATCAACAAACTACAACACAACAAACCGACACAATCAACAAACCTACACAATCAACGAACCAACACAATCAACAAACCAACACAATCAACAAACCAACACAATCAACAAACCAACACAATCAACAAACCAACACAATCAACAAACTACAACACAATCAACAACTACGACACAATCAACAAACCGACACAATCAACAAACCGACACAATCAACAAACCGACACAATCAACAAACCAACACAACAAACCAACACAATCAACAAACCAACACAATCAACAAACCAACACAATCAACAAACTACAACACAATCAACAAAACACAATCAACAAACCAACACAATCAACAAAACACAATCAACAAACCAACACAATCAACAAACCAACACAATCAACAAACACAATCAACAAACCAACACAATCAACAAACCAACACAATCAACAAACCAAACCAACACAATCAACAAACCAACACAATCAACAACACAATCAACAAACCAACACAATCAACAAACCAACACAATCAACAAACCAACACAATCAACAAACCAACACAATCAACAAACCAACACAATCAACAAACAACACACACAATCAACAAACTACAACACAATCAACAAACTACAACACAATCAACAAACCAACACAATCAACAAACTACAACACAATCAACAAACCAACACAATCAACAAACCAACACAATCAACAAACCAACACAATCAACAAACCAACACAATCAACAAACCAACACAATCAACAAACCAACACAATCAACAAACCAACACAATCAACAACAACACAATCAACAAACCAACACAATCAACAAACCAACACAATCAACAAACCAACACAATCAACAAAACAATCAACAAATCAACACAATCAACAAACAACACAATCAACACAATCAACAAACACAACAACAACAAACAACAACAACAATCAACAAACCAACACAATCAACAAACCGACACAATCAACAAACTACAACACAACAAACCGACACAATCAACAAACCAACACAATCAACAAACCGACACAATCAACAAACCAACACAATCAACAAACCAACACAATCAACAAACCGACGCAATCAACAAACCAACACAATCAACAAACCGACACAATCAACAAACCGACACAATCAACAAACCAACACAATCAACAAACCAACACAATCAACAAACCAACACAATCAACAAACCAACACAATCAACAAACTACAACACAATCAACAAACCAACACAATCAACAAACTACAACACAATCAACAAACTACAACACAATCAACAAACCGACACAATCAACAAACCAACACAATCAACAAACTACAACACAATCAACAAACCAACACAATCAACAAACCAACACAATCAACAAACCGACACAATCAACAAACTACAACACAATCAACAAACCAACACAATCAACAAACCAACACAATCAACAAACGCTCAACACGCTGCACAGAGGGAAAAAAGGGCGTTTCGCTTTTGCCAAGTTAAATTAATGGGAGTGGTGTAGTGATGATGGTGTTTGTGACCAGTGGTGGTGATGATTTGATGGTGTGGTGGTGATTTGATGGTGTGGTGGTGATGATTTGATGGTGTGGTGGTGGTGATTTGATGGTGTGGTGGTGATTTGATGGTGTGGTGGTGATTTGATGGTGTGGTGGTGATGATTTGATGGTGTGGTGGTGATGATTTGATGGTGTGGTGGTGGTGATTTGATGGTGTGGTGGTGATTTGATGGTGTGGTGGTGATGATTTGATGGTGTGGTGGTGATGGTGTGGTGGTGATGATTTGATGGTGTGGTGGTGATGATGGTGTGGTGGTGGTGATTTGATGGTGTGGTGGTGATTTGATGGTGTGGTGGTGATGATTTGATGGTGTGGTGGTGATGATTTGATGGTGTGGTGGTGATGATTTGATGGTGTGGTGGTGATGATTTGATGGTGTGGTGGTGATGATTTGATGGTGTGGTGGTGATGATTTGATGGTGTGGTGGTGATGATTTGATGGTGTGGTGGTGATGATTTGATGGTGTGGTGGTGATGGTGTGGTGGTGATGATTTGATGGTGTGGTGGTGATTTGATGGTGTGGTGGTGATTTGATGGTGTGGTGGTGATTTGATGGTGTGGTGGTGATGATTTGATGGTGTGGTGGTGATGATTTGATGGTGTGGTGGTGATGATTTGATGGTGTGGTGGTGATGATTTGATGGTGTGGTGGTGGTGATTTGATGGTGTGGTGGTGATGATTTGATGGTGTGGTGGTGATGGTGTGGTGGTGATGATTTGATGGTGTGGTGGTGATGATTTGATGGTGTGGTGGTGATGATTTGATGGTGTGGTGGTGATGATTTGATGGTGTGGTGGTGATGGTGTGGTGGTGATGATTTGATGGTGTGGTGGTGATGATTTGATGGTGTGGTGGTGATGATTTGATGGTGTGGTGGTGATGATTTGATGGTGTGGTGGTGATGGTGTGGTGGTGATGATTTGATGGTGTGGTGGTGATGGTGTGGTGGTGATGATTTGATGGTGTGGTGGTGATTTGATGGTGTGGTGGTGATTTGATGGTGTGGTGGTGATGATTTGATGGTGTGGTGGTGATGATTTGATGGTGTGGTGGTGATGGTGTGGTGGTGATGATTTGATGGTGTGGTGGTGATGGTGTGGTGGTGATGATTTGATGGTGTGGTGGTGATTTGATGGTGTGGTGGTGATGATTTGATGGTGTGGTGGTGATGATTTGATGGTGTGGTGGTGGTGATTTGATGGTGTGGTGGCGTGAGGCTCTACAGGTTATGGTGAGGGAGACATCTTCCTTTGATGCTTCGATATTTGTTGCTTCCATGTATGAGAGAGAGAGAGTGTGAGAGAGAGGGCAGTAAATAGGTACCTGGGAGTTAGACAGCTGCTACGGGCTGCTTCCTGGGGGGGGGGGGGGGGGGTGTAACAAAAAGGAGGCCTGGTTGAGGACCGGGCCGCGGGGACACTAAGCCCCGAAATCATCTCTCAAGATAACCTCAAGATAGATCATTTTAATAAATACTCACACTTGACGGAGAGCTTGACAAGTATACTCACACTTGACGGAGAGCTTGACAAGTATACTCACACTTGACGGAGAGCTTGACAAGTATACTCACACTTGACGGACAGCTTGGCAAGTATACTCACACTTGACGGAGAGCTTGACAAGTATACTCACACTTGACGGAGAGCTTGACAAGTATACTCACACTTGACGGAGAGCTTGACAAGTATACTCACACTTGACGGAGAGCTTGACAAGTATACTCACACTTGACGGAGAGCTTGGCAAGTATACTCACACTTGACGGAGAGCTTGACAAGTATACTCACACTTGACGGAGAGCTTGACAAGTATACTCACACTTGACGGAGAGCTTGACAAGTATACTCACACTTGACGGAGAGCTTGACAAGTATACTCACACTTGACGGAGAGCTTGACAAGTATACTCACACTTGACGGAGAGCTTGGCAAGTATACTCACACTTGACGGAGAGCTTGGCTCGAGCGGACACAGCAGGAGGGACCCCGTTGGAAGCGACGCAGAGGAAGGCGCCGGTGTCCTCCCTATTGACACCTGTCAAGACAAGACGCGGCCCAGACGCCTCCAACACTGTGGGAGGAACCAGTGGTGGTGTTGCTGTGGGAGGAACCAGTGGTGGTGTTGCTGTGGGAGGAACCAGTGGTGGTGTTGCTGTGGGAGGAACCAGTGGTGGTGTTGCTGTGGGAGGAACCAGTGGTGGTGTTGCTGTGGGAGGAACCAGTGGTGGTGTTGCTGTGGGAGGAACCAGTGGTGGTGTTGCTGTGGGAGATGCTAGTGTCCCCCACTCCCACTACAACTGTCAGATATCAGGTGTGTATGAGGCATAAAGTGTTCACCTTGGACCATATACACACACTTGTAAAGTACTAGTAAAGTGCTGATTGAGAGGGACAAGTGACCCAGTCATCACTGCTGTTTACATTTATATTGAATGAAGATGGTGTTGATGGTGTTGGCATCTTTGTGAATGGTGAGGGCTCTTAACTGGGGTACACAGTGGTGTGTACACCTCTTGTGTGCTCTCTCTAGTATGTATACATGGTCTAACGTGGCACTAGTGTGTATATGGACCATGGTGGGTCAAGTGTGTATATACATATGCATACTGGAGCCAACGGGAAACATATACATGCTAGAACAGCCTTGGATACTACACACAATTAGAGCAACTATGTAACATACATGTGACAGAGCAACATTGTAAGGTATACATAATAGAGAGCGTATCATCGCTAGTTTGAGATCCCTATGTATACTGCATGTATCCTGGGTTATCATTCACTGAAATGTGTTGACAAATCTATCATACCTTCTTGAAGCAATAATATCAAGCTGAATCAACATCTTTACAAATATGCAGTTGACAATCTTATTAAGATCCCATTGAACAAATCCACAAGGGCCGTGGCAAGGATTCGAACCAACGTCCGAGAGCATCCCAGATTCAGACGCAGGTTCGAATCCTCGTCACGGCCCTTGTGGATGTGTTCATTTGATGCATCACACTATTGTGGATTTCTGTGTGTTAAGAGCCCATTATTCAGGCCTTTACCCATCAGAGTGCGACTTACCAGTCAGACTCACCGTGGGAGTGGTTGAGAGACAGGTGGGCCGGATGCTCCCTGCGCCAGGTGAGGACTGGCTCTGGGTCACCCTTAGCCTCACACTCGAGGACGACATCCTCCCCCTCCACTGCCACTACGTCCTCTGGAGGCCTCACTATCACCGGCGACGCTGGCGAGGCAGACATCATCACCATCACACATTCCACGAAGTCTAAGATTGCTTTGATAATACATCACAGGGTAATGTGATCATTTAAGCTGTTGTTTCTTGCAGAATTCAGTGAAGAAAGTTACTCGTATGATTTTGAACCTAATGTCACGGAGATACGACAGATATAAAAAAAATTTAAATAAAAAACAAATTAGTAATGTTATTCTGTCTTGAGAAGCTGAGGCAGTTATCAGGCCAAAGGCATTCACTATGGAAAGCTGAAGGAATCCGCCGGGATATGAAGCTGCATTTGTTTTGAAATTATTTGAGGCCTGAGTGATACACGAGTGAGTGACAACTGCTTCATAACACGAACAGAACTCACAGCTGAGGCAGATAAACATTTTCTCTGCAGAATTTAACATAAAGGCATAAATGAACCGATACATTGATATTGTAGTTCAGTGTTTTGAAGTCTTGAGGCAATCCATTTCACATGATGTTTATCTTTTGACGAATAATTTGTGTGGTTCCTTCAACAGTGTCTAGGATCATAATATATATATATATATATATATATATATATATATATATATATATATATATATATATATATATATATATATATATATATATATATATATATATATATATATATATATATATATATATATATATATATATATATGTCGTACCTAATAGCCAGAACGCACTTCTCAGCCTACTATTCAAGGCCCGATTTGCCTAATAAGCCAAGTTTTCATGAATTAATGTTTTTTCGTCTACCTAACCTACCTAACCTAACCTAGCTTTTTTTGGCTACCTAACCTAACCTTACCTATAAATATAGGTTAGGTTAGGTTAGGTAGGGTTGGTTAGGTTCGGTCATATATCTACGTTAATTTTAACTCCAATAAAAAAAGTTGACCTCATACATAGAGAAAAGGGTTGCTTTATCATTTCATAAGAAAAAAATTATAGTAAATATATTAATTCAGGAAAACTTGGCTTATTAGGCAAATCGGGCCTTGAATAGTAGGCTGAGAAGTGAGTTCTGGCTACTAGGTACGACATATATATATATATATATATATATATATATATATATATATATATATATATATATATATATATATATATATATATATATATATATATATACATACATTACCAGAGATGAAACCAAGTTCAGGACAGGTAGTTTTTTTGAATTACCTAACTAGAGAGGAATTGTGGGGGAGACTAAAGTAGACTCACCCACAACGGTGATGTGGAAGTAGAGTTTGTGAGGTGGGACGGTGTTGAGCTGGCACAGGTAGAGTCCCTGGTCAGTGGTGGTGACGTTGGTGATGACTAGGGACCAAGAGGTGCCACCTCGCTCCTTAGCCAGTGACACCCGATCGTTCTTGGTGATAACGACGGTGTCCACAGTCAGCACGGCCCGTCCTCTGCGTCCGTAGTGCGTCCACGCCACCTGTCAACACCCAGTCCTGTCCTGTCAGTTCCCCCAACGTCAAGAAGACTTTCAAATTAAACTGTCCTCTCCTGACCTATCCAAGAGAACCCAAAACAGAAAACGGGACGGGACGTTTCATATGAAGACTTAGCTTCAGAAATTCTGCGTCATCCTTCTTGAATAAATCTACAGGCCAGGAGTTCTCGAAGGACGGAAAGCTGGCCATCTTCATCTGGGGACATTTTCTGAACGGTTTGGTATCTTAGCTTTTTGCCGAATAGCTGGATTGTTTGTCTGAAATTGTAATCATCTCGGATTTGGTAAGAAACCGCGAGATTGGGGTAATTGTTCCTTAAAGTGATGACTGTAGATTCGATTAAAAAAATCCCTTTTGAAGAATACAAGTTGATAAGAGGCTCTCAACACGGGCTTACAAGGGCTCTCAACAATTCAAGCTCACTCTTGCAAGTTGACAAGAGTGGATGAACGAGCCGTTGCACCACACAAAATAAACCCAGGTTTGGCTAAAACAAAAACCAGTCAAACCATAAACCATGCTTCACTATCCTAGGCCTAACATACGGAATCGTAGGCCTAATTAACTAAATAGAACTATACTAGACCTCTGACAAGTTAGGTTTAGTTGTGGTCGCCTTTCTCTGTCTATTTATCAAATGAATAGTATTGGATTAATTTTATTTGGGGCAGCAATATATAATTTATACATCTATAGTCGCTATAAGTACTGTAGTCATTGAAGGACAGGGTGTACACCTGTTCAAATTTGGTACAGTCGCCATGCATTAAAATAGAACCGTGTCGTTTGAAATCGGAAACATAATTTTCATGAGCAAATTTAAAATATATTTGCGCTACTTTATCTGAAAGAATTTAGAATAAGTTCATATGTTCCCAGAATTACAGCTGCAGACGAGGAGTCACAATAACGTGGCTGAAATATGTTGACCAGACCGCATACTAGAAGGTGAAGGGACGACGACGTTTCGGTCCGTCCTGGACCATTCTCAAGTCGATTGTGATTCCCAGAATTACTCTCCTCACTCTGTCACAATACGTATTATCGTCTATTGACAGGAACTGTCATCAGCTGACAGTAATGTATACAACTGACAGGTAATGACTTGAACTGTTAGGTACTGTCATCAACTTAGATGCTGTCATTAACTGACAGGTAATGTAGTTAACTGACAGGACCTGTCTTCAGCTCAGATACACTGTGGAGGCTGACTCCATACACAGTTTCAAGTGTAGGTATGACAGAGCCCAGTAGGCTCAGAAACCTGTACACCAGTTGATTGACAGTTGAGAGGCGGGACCAAAGAGCCAGACCTCAACCCCCGCAAACACAACTAGGTGAGTACTGTGGTCAACTGATTGTTACTATCGCCAGTTAACTAATACTAGTATCCTCTGATGGGACAATATTTTCAATAATAGTCAAACTCATTAATGATCATTGAATCCAAAGCTGTAATGACCTTCTAATGTGATAAACTCAATATATTCCTTCTCTTTAAGTAAATCAAAGACCTTATCCATAAGTGTACTATATTTATAATTGAGAAAATGTACATGAAAGTACATATGAGTCACAATTACAGGGTGAGAAGTTAACTGTTTACAGCTTTCCAAATCCTTTCTTAATCGCTCTTAATACCTTTTGCATTTTAGGTCATCATTGATTAAATAAATCATGCTTACTTGTTACAGATAATGCAATGATTAATATAATCGCTAGACAAGGGCTCTTTATCACATGTCATGGTAATTTTATTTCAATAAACGCAATGTCAAGTATCCAATATTCACGTTTTACCGATCACCTCCGCTTGCAATATCGTCAGTATCCATTTGGTGGACAGCTCACAGAGGTCATCAAAGGAATTTAGCAATGTTACTTTGATCAACAGAAGGTAACCTAATGAATCCACACAGACGTAGAGGCGTTGAACATCAGTGTAGTGGACACAACGTCCTCAGACATTGATGCTAGTCTGATCTCTTGTGTAGATTGGTCGTGCAGTAAACTCTCAATATACAGTAAGTGGAAATTCATTCTGAAAGATTCGAGCATCAATAATTTATAGAAATGATGCACGGGTTTACCTGCGAATCCTTTGTAGTAATCCCATGAGCCTATGTACCTGCATAGGAGTTGTTTATTCATAAACGTAATCCTGTTTACACAGTTGGGGATTTTGGCTACTCAAGAAACGTTATACAAATCTCTAATAGAGATTTGTAATCCACCTGAACAATTCGTTCCTTTGATTCCCATTCTCTTCAAAATCCATCCTCCGTACCTAACCAGAAACATATAATAGAAGGAGGATCACTTTGATTGTTTCACGCGTAGGTTAGACATATATATGAATGAGTTTGGGATGGATATAAATAGGAACTGCCTGGTATTGGCCAATATAGGCCTTCTGCAGTTACTTTCATTCTCATGTTCACAGGAACCCAACCAACCCACCGAACCTATTGAGCAGATCCATAGACAACGGGATATTTGTAAACAACCACTTGTCATAGTAGCTCTCACGTCCTTCCGTTTTCTTCTTTACTTTCTAGTAATTCAGACAATCTTGAAGATGAACAAATCCACAAAGGGCCGTGACGAGGGTTCGAACCTACGTCCGAGAGGATCCAAATTGTGGATTTTTTCATTTGATGCATCACGCTATTGTGGTTTCTGTGTGTATTATAAATATGTTTCTAAATCCAATGTCTTTTGTTGAAATTGACTCCTTGTTTCCTAATTACGGGCAATATAATGTGCCTATTGCAACAATAGTTCTTACAGCTGATATATTGGATACTAGAATCGGATTGCACAATACAAACATCCATAAACACTTACATATATAATATATATATATATATATATATATATATATATATATATATATATATATATGTCGTACCTAGTAGCCAGAACGCACTTCTCAGCCTACTATGCAAGGCCCGATTTGCCTAATAAGCCAAGTTTTCATGAATTACTTGTTTTTCGACTACCTAACCTACCTAACCTAACCTAACCTAACTTTTTCTGCTACCTTACCTAACCTAACCTATAAAGATAGGTTAGGTTAGGTAGGGTTGGTTAGGTTCGGTCATATATCTACGTTAATTTTAACTTCAATAAAAAAAAATTGACCTCATACATAATGAAATGGGTAGCTTCATCATTTCATAAGAAAACAAATAGAGAAAATATATTATTTCAGGAAAACTTGGCTTATTAGGCAAATCGGGCCTTGTATAGTAGGCTGAGAAGTGCGTTCTGGCTACTAGGTACGACATATATATATATATATATATATATATATATATATATATATATATATATATATATATATATATATATATATATATATATACACACACACATACACACACACACACACACACACATACACACACACACACACACACACACACACACACAGGCTACATAATTCTTTACCCCTTTATGAGGCGGTGATGCCTCAGCTGTGAGAAGAAAAAAATAAGTAATTAATTTATCACTTTTAATTACATTTCAGAAACTAACCAATTTTCGTCAGTGAAACAGCACACACGAGGCTACCAAACTGGATCATTAATTACATAATGCAAACCAGTGTATTTGTTCAGTAATCATGTTATTTGACAACCCAAATGGAAAGCTGTGGTTATTCCCAACAAGATGGTCGTTAACTACCACCACCACCGCAACTCACAGATAACTTGTACTGAGTGAACATGTTCACCAATACTGCAACTCAATATTTTATATGGTTGTATAACGTAATCCATCTTACCTAATGTCAGTCATATAATAAGCAGGGTTGTCCAGCCCTAACAACACATAATCCAGGTTCCACAATAGCAAGAAGACATATAATCGAGGTTCCACAATACCAAGAAGACATATCGAGGTTCCACAATAGCAAGAAGACATATAATCGAGGTTCCACAATAGCAAGAAGACATATAATCGAGGTTCCACAATAGCAAGAAGACATATAATCGAGGTTTCACAATAGCAAGAAGACATATAATCGAGGTTCCACAATAGCAAGAAGACATAATCGAGGTTCTACAATAGCAAGAAGACATATAATCGAGGTTCCACAACCACAACAAGACATATAATCGGGGTTCCACAACCACAACAAGACATATAATCGGGGTTCCACAATAGCAAGAAGACATATAATCGAGGTTCCACAATAGCAAGAAGACATATAATCGAGGTTCCACAATAGCAAGAAGACATATAATCGAGGTTCCACAATAGCAAGAAGACATATAATCGAGGTTCCACAATAGCAAGAAGACATATAATCGAGGTTCCACAATAGCAAGAAGACATATAATCGAGGTTTCACAATAGCAAGAAGACATATAATCGAGGTTCCACAATAGCAAGAAGACATAATCGAGGTTCTACAATAGCAAGAAGACATATAATCGAGGTTCCACAACCACAACAAGACATATAATCGGGGTTCCACAACCACAACAAGACATATAATCGGGGTTCCACAATAGCAAGAAGACATATAATCGCGGTTCCACAATAGCAAGAAGACATATAATCGAGGTTCCACAATAGCAAGAAGACATATAATCGAGGTTCCACAATAGCAAGAAGACATATAATCGAGGTTCCACAATAGCAAGAAGACATATAATCGAGGTTCCACAATAGCAAGAAGACATATAATCGAGGTTCCACAATAGCAAGAAGACATATAATCGAGGTTCCACAATAGCAAGAAGACATATAATCGAGGTTCCACAATAGCAAGAAGACATATAATCGAGGTTCCACAATAGCAAGAAGACATATAATCGAGGTTCCACAATAACATATAATCGAGGTTCCACAATAGCAAGAAGACATATAATCGAGGTTCCACAATAGCAAGAAGACATATAATCGAGGTTCCACAATAGCAAGAAGACATATAATCGAGGTTCCACAATAGCAAGAAGACATATAATCGAGGTTCCACAATAGCAAGAAGACATATAATCGAGGTTCCACAATAGCAAGAAGACATATAATCGAGGTTCCACAATAGCAAGAAGACATATAATCGATCGAGGTTCCACAATAGCAAGAAGACATATAATCGAGGTTCCACAATAGCAAGAAGACATATAATCGAGGTTCCACAATAGCAAGAAGACATATAATCGAGGTTCCACAATAGCAAGAAGACATATAATCGAGGTTCCACAATAGCAAGAAGACATATAATCGAGGTTCCACAATAGCAAGAAGACATATAATCGAGGTTCCACAATAGCAAGAAGACATATAATCGAGGTTCCACAATAGCAAGAAGACATATAATCGAGGTTCCACAATAGCAAGAAGACATATAATCGAGGTTCCACAATAGCAAGAAGACATATAATCGAGGTTCCACAATAGCAAGAAGACATATAATCGAGGTTCCACAATAGCAAGAAGACATATAATCGAGGTTCCACAATAGCAAGAAGACATATAATCGAGGTTCCACAATAGCAAGAAGACATATAATCGAGGTTCCACAATAGCAAGAAGACATATAATCGAGGTTCCACAATAGCAAGAAGACATATAATCGAGGTTCCACAATAGCAAGAAGACATATAATCGAGGTTCCACAATAGCAAGAAGACATATAATCGAGGTTCCACAATAGCAAGAAGACATATAATCGAGGTTCCACAATAGCAAGAAGACATATAATCGAGGTTCCACAATAGCAAGAAGACATATAATCGAGGTTCCACAATAGCAAGAAGACATATAATCGAGGTTCCACAATAGCAAGAAGACATATAATCGAGGTTCCACAATAGCAAGAAGACATATAATCGAGGTTCCACAATAGCAAGAAGACATATAATCGAGGTTCCACAATAGCAAGAAGACATATAATCGAGGTTTCACAATAGCAAGAAGACATATAATCGAGGTTCCACAATAGCAAGAAGACATATAATCGAGGTTCCACAATAGCAAGAAGACAAGGTTCCACAACCACAACAAGACATATAATCGAGGTTCAACAAGACAATCGAGGTTCCACAATAGCAAGAAGACATATAATCGAGGTTCCACAACCACAACAAGACATATAATCGAGGTTCCACAACCACAACAAGACATATAATCGAGGTTCCACAATAGCAAGAAGACATATCATCAATAAAGTTCCCCTTAATTAATTCAGTTATAAATAAATTTCTCTAAAACGGAAACCTTCTTTAAGCGTTAGCAGAACTCCACCAATCTTCAGTGGAACCCCATTGAGATTCACGGAACTCTAATCAAGCTTCGGCGAATCAAGCGTTCTTGAAACTGCATCAGGCTTCATCAGAACTCCACTAAGCTTCCGTGGAAGCTTGACATGTCTTTTAAGATCGCAATTCACAATGGCTTCCATATTTTGAGTCAGGATATATACTATTTAGCATATGCTGAGCCTGTGTATTTATGTATGGGTGTATATATACATTCATGTGTGTATTGTGTAATCCAATATCAGTATCATGTAGGAGAAAATTATATCCAAACCTTGACGCATTATGAAGAAAATCATATATATGACCTGTAAATCGAGGCCGCAGCCAAATTTATTGCGAAAACCGAACTATTCTACCCCATGGGAGATCATCGGTTTCTTAATTACAGTTCCCCTTTACCTTCCCAAGAGGCTAATTGAAGAACAACCCTTGCTTGGGCAAGAAGCAAAGTAAAATGTCTTAAGCCAAATTGATGATTTGGTCAGAGAGCGCTTCCCCTCTCAAATTATTTACACTGATAGCTCCTTGCACCAGCCCCATGGTGCAGGTGGAAGTGCAGTTGTTGTGACAGCGAGAGATTCCTCACCCTCTCTCACGAATCTGGAGGGAATTATCAGGGGGAAGCGCCAAGCCATTACGACTATATAGCACCTACGAGCTCACCATAGCCCGTGCTACATGGATACTTCGTTCTGAGTAGCTAAATCTGAAACAACAACATATATAGCACTTGGAAGGGGTCAGGATAAGGATTTGGGATGGGACGGGGGGAAGGAATGGTGCCTAATCACTTGGACGGTCGAGGTTTCAACGCCGACTTGCTTGAAGCGAGACCGTCGCTCTACCGTCCAACCCAAGTGGTTGGCGCGTGTAAATAACTGCGCCTCCACTCTTCAAACAGACTTGCTTGCCATAATCCTTGCACTCGAACGAGTATACGAGTCCAGATATGACACACTAATTGTAAATAACTTCTTGTCATCCTCCCCAAGACATAACTTTGACATGCTTGTGTCTGAAGCAAGAGGCAGATATAATGAAATAATCAATGATGGAGTCAGAGTTTGTCTCCTGTGGATTCCATCCCATATTGAGTCTCCGAATGCATGATAGAACTGATGAGTTGGCCAAGACTTTTGCTCGTAGAGGGAATTGATTACCATTTTGGACTGCCCTTGAGCAGCCTGAGGGCAGCAATATTCCGGGATCATCAACAAAATCTTGTAGACTTGAGGCAAACTGAAATGCACACCAGTTACTCTATCATTATTATATTATGCAGGAAGAACGGGACGTCTATTAATATTCGAATAAGGATAGCAGACTAGTAGAGCATACTACTGCTAGGCTTGGGCTCAGCTACCAGTACCTCTAGTAGTTTACACCACCAGGTGATGTAGACTTCATCAAAGGTAAACTCTGTCAGTTGAACTTTGCGTAATTGTGTAATGGAATGAGAAAAAATAACAAAATTCAATGGTATTCAAGAAATATATAAATACTTCATTCATAATGACACACATACCATCAATCCTACCCCCCAAGTACTCAAAGTTTACTTACTGAAACAACACATGCATGTGACAGCTGGCCATTGGTCTTGACAAATATATTTCATAAACTAACCGGAAGATATGTTAATAGAGCAAGACTTCCCAGCTTTCTTAACCTCACTACCTACACCGCTTAAGGAACCTCTAGAGCATTCAAGCTTAACAATATGCGGCACAAATGTCTTCAACTCCCCGAGCTTAGCATTCGCGTTAGTGCCATTTGAAACAGTGTAAATAACCCAACGTTTCACGTTCGTGAAAATGACGACGTTTCGGTCTTTCTGTTATACGTTTCGTCCGCAGTGACATGACCTCATAAGGGCCCCGGATGGACCGAAACATCGCACCTGTCTGTTGACATGTGTGGGGTTGGGTTACTTGTTTCAACCCCGTTGTTGTGACTTACTGTCTTTAATTATAGGGTTATTCATAACAAACTCATTTCTCACGATGGGGTCCACCAAACAGCCAAACAGCAGCACCATGATTTGTAACAATGATGAAAGCTAAAGGTCATCATGGTTGAATAATATTAAAGGTGAAGTGCTATGTGTAAGGTCAAAGGTGATGATCCAGACTGGTTGATGATGCATGACCAGGCAACATGGTGATGCATGACCAGGCAACATGGTGATGCATGACCAGGCAACATGGTGATGCTTGACCAGGCAACATGGTGATGCTTGACCAGGCAACATGGCGATGCATGACCGGGCAACATGGTGATGCTTGACCAGGCAACATGGTGATGCATGACCAGGCAACATGGCGATGCTTGACCAGGCAACATGGTGATGCATGACCAGGCAACATGGTGATGCATGACCAGGCAACATGGCGATGCATGACCGGGCAACATGGCGATGCATGACCGGGCAACATGGTGATGCATGACCAGGCAACATGGCGATGCATGACCGGGCAACATGGCGATGCTTAACCAGGCAACATGGTGATGCTTGACCAGGCAACATGGTGATGCATGACCAGGCAACATGGCGATGCATGACCTGGCAACATGGTGATGCATGACCAGGCAACATGGTGATGCATGACCAGGCAACATGGTGATGCATGACCAGGCAACATGGTGATGCATGACCAGGCAACATGGTGATGCATGACCAGGCAACATGGTGATGCATGACCAGGCAACATGGTGATGCATGACCAGGCAACATGCTGATGCTTGACCAGGCAACATGGTGATGCATGACCAGGCAACATGGTGATGCATGACCAGGCAACATGGTGATGCTTGACCAGGCAACATGGTGATGCATGACCAGGCAACATGGTGATACATGACCAGGCAACATGGTGATGCATGACCAGGCAACATGGTGATGCATGACCAGGCAACATGGTGATGCATGACCAGGCAACATGGTGATGCATGACCAGGCAACATGGTGATGCATGACCAGGCAACATGGTGATGCATGACCAGGCAACATGGTGATGCATGACCAGGCAACATGGTGATGCATGACCAGGCAACATGGTGATGCATGACCAGGCAACATGGTGATGCATGACCAGGCAACATGGTGATGCATGACCAGGCAACATGATGATGCATGACCAGGCAACATGGTGATGCATGACCAGGCTGGGTGGTGATGGTAGACCAGGCTGGTTGATGATGGTAGACCAGGCTGGGTGGTGATGGTAGACCAGGCTGGGTGGTGATGGTAGATCAGGCTGGGTGGTGACTTTAACTGCAGACTCAGGCTGACACTAAGGCTTGGACTTGAATCTTAGTGCTGAAGCTGTCCTAGAGGCAGATCAGCTTCCCAGGGCTAAGCTTGAGTAGAGTCTGACACATTCTAACCTAAGCTGATATTCCTTGTGAGTATTCATTTTGACATCATATATTCTGTTTGTTTCTCTCAACTGTATAAAATACATTTCCTACATGTCTCCAAAGTTGTATTGTATTTATAGTAAGTAAACATAGTTACTGTATCCCCCGAAAACACTGCCAATGAGTACATTCACTCTAACGACTGATGTCACTTATGTTATGCTAGACTTAGGGGATAGTCTTCGTGCTGAATTGGTCATTAGGTCATTTCCACACACCTCATCTTTCATTTCCTTCCTCCTCACCTCCCGTCTTCTCCTCATATTCATTGCCTGTTCCTCCATTCTTAGATTCCTATAATTTCATTTCCCGGTTCTTCGTAAACAATTACCTCGTCACAAATGAGGTGCAGCGGATTTTGGGTAATTATCTGTACCGGAAGCAAGTGATCCAGCAACACACGAGTCTTATAGTAACTTAAAATTAGAATGATTAGAATTAGAAAGGTATAGAAGTTGCTACAATTGTGGCAGGACTTTGTCACTGCAACTAATAGATTTTATTTTGGGTTGATAAACCATTGCTATAAAAATTTTAATAGTTTTGTTTATCAGTGTTTAAAGTGAGTGCATATTTGTTTTTTAAATAATTAAAATAAGTCTAACGTCTTTGTTTTAGAACATTTGTTAAAGCTAATTTTCTTGAGTTTGTTTCACAGCAATGATTCGTCAAGCGAATCTTTTTTTTGCTTTTGCTTGTTGGAACAAGCAAACGATTCAGGTGATGGGGGTTACGGCCTTAACTTGTACTCTTGTTGTTGTTAAAGATTCGCTAACTGGAACACAAAGTTCCAAGCAGCACGGGCTATGGTGAGCCCGTAATCTTACCTTGTACTGTTGTTGTTGTTAAAGATTCGCTAACTGGAACACAAAGTTCCAAGCAGCACGGGCTATGGTGAGCCCGTAATCTTACCTTGTACTGTTGTTGTTGTTAAAGATTCGCTAACTGGAACACAAAGTTCCAAGCAGCACGGGCTATGGTGAGCCCGTAATCTTACCTTGTACTGTTGTTGTTGTTAAAGATTCGCTAACTGGAACACAAAGTTGCAAGCAGCACGGGCTATGGTGAGCCCGTAATCTTACCTTGTAGTCTGCCAGGTTCTCCACCAGACAGGTGAGCTTGGCCTGCCGTCCAGCAGCAACCGTCACGTTCAGGGACGGAGCAGACAGCAGTGGCTGCCAGTCTGCGGTGGGAGGAAAGGCACATTTAACCCTGTGATAATTACAGGACTGTAACGCTATGTACATTTCATTTTTATGAAATTTAAATATCGAATAAATCGTTGATACAAAATACTAATAGTTGGGTACGTAATTGTTAATGTATTTATACAACCCGTTCTCGCACTTGCTTACAGTCAATATTGGCTTATTTAATAAGTGCATATGTGACATACTAATTGATTGTGAATATTTTAGTTTACCTTGAAAAGCTTCATAGAAAACACCGACCTCACCTAACCTTCTTAGTATGTTAAGATAAGCATCTTATTGCTTCTTAATTACAATTATTACTTAACCTATCAACGGTATAGGTTAAGTAATATTTGTAATTAAGAAGCAATAAGATGCTTATCTTAACATACTAAGAAGGTTGGGTGAGGTCGGTGTTTTCTATGAAGTTTTTCAAGGTAAACTAAAATATTCACAATCAATTAGTATGTCACATACGCACTTAATAAACAAGCCAATATTGACTGTAAGTAAGTGCGAGAACGGGTTGATTTATACTTTACATAATTGTTCTGATAGAGTCACAACAATAAAATAATTGGCAAATACTAGTGAATAAAACAAGTGTTTTATAAGTGACTCAGTTGTAACACCATCACTAGTTAGCAACAATATAACTAGCAGCACGAAACACCATCTTAACCTGCAAGATGCAGACGAGGAGTCACAATAACGGGGCTGAAATATGTTGACCAGACCACACACTAGAAGGTGAAGGGACGACGACATTTTGGTCCGTCCTGGATCATTCACAAGTCGATTGTGAAGACCACCTTCAGATGGCTCGCTACTCCCCAGATTCATGACACTTTTTGTATATAAACACAATTTTGATGTGTTACTGATAATATAATAGATATATAACATCTACATTGTGGAGAATAATCCGTGAGACTGTGCAGACTAGACATGACTGCTCTGCTTACCACTTAAGCTCCAGGTTTGCCACTCCGTCAAAAATGCATCTGTTTTGCTTTACCAGAAAAATACTGACCCAAACACCCCACTAAACCCATCGAACACAATGCATAGAGAACGGCAATATTAATGTGCTTTAATTTGAACTAATACGTCGTTTATTTTTTAAACGGATTTGTCGATTTCCTAAGAAATGGGACGTATTACACACTAAAATAAACCTCTTTCTTATAGTCAGTAACAGTTGACTGATTAAGGCTCAGGAACCTGTACATTAGTCGATTGACCTTGAGAGGCGGGACCAAAGAGCCAGAGCTCAACCTCCGCAAGCACAACTAGGTAAGTAAGGCAAGCAATTACATCAAATGGAACAAAGGCAAATGTACACCGAGAAGTGAACATGTAAGCCAAGTACAACTAGTGAACAACTAGTGAACAACTAGTGAACATCTAGTGAACAACTAGTGAACAACTAGTGAACATCTAGTGAACATCTAGTGAACATCTAGTGAACATCTAGTGAACAACTAGTGAACAACTAGTGAACATCTAGTGAACATCTAGTGAACATCTAGTGAACAACTAGTGAACATCTAGTGAACATCTAGTGAACAACTAGTGAACATCTAGTGAACATCTAGTGAACAACTAGTGAACATCTAGTGAACAACTAGTGAACATCTAGTGAACATCTAGTGAACAACTAGTGAACAACTAGTGAACAACTAGTGAACATCTAGTGAAACTAGTGAACATCTAGTGAACAACTAGTGAACATCTAGTGAAATCTAGTCTAGTGAACAACTAGTGAACATCTAGTGAACATCTAGTGAACAACTAGTGAACATCTAGTGAACAACTAGTGAACATCTAGTGAACATCTAGTGAACATCTAGTGAACAACTAGTGAACAACTAGTGAACAACTAGTGAACATCTAGTGAACAACTAGTGAACAACTAGTGAACAACTAGTGAACAACTAGTGAACAACTAGTGAACAACTAGTGAACATCTAGTGAACATCTAGTGAACAACTAGTGAACAACTAGTGAACATCTAGTGAACAACTAGTGAACATCTAGTGAACATCTAGTGAACAACTAGTGAACAACTAGTGAACAACTAGTGAACAACTAGTGAACATCTAGTGAAACTAGTGAACATCTAGTGAAACTAGTGAACATCTAGTGAACAAACTAGTGAACATCTAGTGAACAACTAGTGAACATCTAGTGAACATCTAGTGAACATCTAGTGAATATCTAGTGAACAACTAGTGAACAACTAGTGAACAACTAGTGAACATCTAGTGAACAACTAGTGAACATCTAGTGAACAACTAGTGAACATCTAGTGAATATCTAGTGAACATCTAGTGAACATCTAGTGAACAACTAGTGAACAACTAGTGAACAACTAGTGAACAACTAGTGAACATCTAGTGAACATCTAGTGAACATATCTAGTGAACATCTAGTGAACATCTAGTGAACAACTAGTGAACATCTAGTGAACATCTAGTGAACATCTAGTGAACATCTAGTGAACAACTAATGAACATCTAGTGAACATCTAGTGAACATCTAGTGAACAACTAGTGAACATCTAGTGAACAACTAATGAACATCTAGTGAACATCTAGTGAACAACTAGTGAACAACTAGTGAACATCTAGTGAACAACATGAACAACTAGTGAACAACTAGTGAACAACTAGTGAACAACTAGTGAACATCTAGTGAACAACTAGTGAACAACTAGTGAACATCTAGTGAACAACTAGTGAACAACTAGTGAACATCTAGTGAACAACTAGTGAACAACTAGTGAACATCTAGTGAACAACTAGTGAACAACTAGTGAACATCTAGTGAACAACTAGTGAACAACTAGTGAACATCTAGTGAACACTAGTGAACAACTAGTGAACATCTAGTGAACAACTAGTGAACAACTAGTGAACATCTAGTGAACAACTAGTGAACAACTAGTGAACAACTAGTGAACATCTAGTGAACAACTAGTGAAACTACTAGTGAACACTAGTGAACAACTAGTGAACAACTAGTGAACAACTAGTGAACAACTAGTGAACAACTAGTGAACATCTAGTGAACATCTAGTGAACATCTAGTGAACAACTAGTGAACAACTAGTGAACACTAGTGAACATCTAGTCTAGTGAACAACTAGTGAACTAGTGAACATCTAGTGAACTAGTGAAACTAGTGAACAACTAGTGAACAACTAGTGAACATCTAGTGAACAACTACTAGTGAACATCTAGTGAACAACTAGTGAACATCTAGTGAACAACTAGTCTAGTGAACATCTAGTGAACAACTAGTGAACAACTAGTGAACATCTAGTGAACAACTAGTGAACATCTAGTGAACATCTAGTGAACAACTAGTGAACAACTAGTGAACATCTAGTGAACAACTAGTGAACATCTAGTGAACAACTAGTGAACAACTAGTGAACATCTAGTGAACAACTAGTGAACAACTAGTGAACAACTAGTGAACAACTAGTGAACATCTAGTGAACAACTAGTGAACATCTAGTGAACAACTAGTGAACAACTACTGAACATCTAGTGAACAACTAGTGAACAACTAGTGAACATCTAGTGAACAACTAGTGAACATCTAGTGAACAACTAGTGAACAACTAGTGAACATCTAGTGAACAACTAGTGAACACAGTCTAGTGAACTAGTGAACAAACTAGTGAACAACTAGTGAACAACTAGTGAACATCTAGTGAACAACTAGTGAACAACTAGTGAACAACTAGTGAACATCTAGTGAACAACTAGTGAACAACTAGTGAACAACTAGTGAACATCTAGTGAACAACTAGTGAACAACTAGTGAACAACTAGTGAACAACTAGTGAACAACTAGTGAACAACATTAATGACATACTATTTAATGACACTGCAATATGCAACGTCATCAGTTAGTATCTTGAGGTTATCTTGAGAGGATTTCGGGGCTTTAGTGTCCCCGCGGCCCGGTCCTCGACCAGGCCTCCACCCCCAGGAAGCAGCCCGTGACAGCTGACTAACACCCAGGTACCTATTTTACTGCTAGGTAACAGGGGCATTGGGTGAAAGAAACTCTGCCCATTGTTTCTCGCCGGCGCCCGGGATCGAACCGGGGACCACAGGATCACAAGACCAGCGTGCTGTCCGCTCGGCCGACCGGCTCCGTAGCTGACTCTGCTCAGGTCTTTGCTATGATAGGCTGTTTATGCGTTATTAACGAATAATCTTGCAAAAGTGTAGTTACATATATATTGTACGATGTCGGAACTACTAAAATACATCAATAATAAATTAATAAATTTCATATTTCACGCCCCAAAGAACACAATAAGAAAATACATTATTGGAAAAGTCCGATGTATTAAATTGTTCGTACTTTATAATTACAATTATCACGATATATTATCACACTAAAATTACTAATAATTCAAGTTTTTTTTTAGAGAAAATTAGCATGAAAAGTTACAATAGGAAAAAATATTAGAAAATAACATGAAAATTTGCGGCTGATGGTTAGAAAAAATATATGTGTATTAATTTTCTCTTATATCTCTTTATCTTTCATAATGTATTCGTGTATGTTGATAGAATTGTATAAACCACTCTTGTCTGTGCTGTATTTTACCTGTATTTGAGGTTATCTTGAGGTTATCTTGAGATGATTTCGGGGCTTTAGTGTCCCCGCGGCCCGGTCCTCGACCAGGCCTCCACCCCCAGGAAGCAGCCCGTGACAGCTGACTTAACTCCCAGGTACCTATTTACTGCTAGGTAACAGGGGCATTCAGGGTGAAAGAAACTTTGCCCATTTGTTTCTGCCTCGTGCGGGAATCGAACCCGCGCCACAGAATTACGAGTCCTGCGCGCTATCCACCAGGCTACGAGGGTCCCCCCTTGAGGACCCATATCATTAATAACCTTGTCATAATATATTATATTACTTCTTTAGTTATTATAATGATAATTTTTTGCTGTTCAAGTGCGTTATATATTTAATTTATCGAGTTAGCTCTAAATAAACAATCATTCATTTATGAAGTTAGTTTTTATTTAATTTGGTAACTTTTTTTTTGATTGGTTAATGGTGTGTGATCCACTTAATGATTGGTTAGTGGTGTGTGATTCACTCTATGATTGGTTAGTGGTGTGTGATTCACTCTATGATTGGTTAGTGGTGTGTGATTCACTCTATGATTGGTTAGTGGTGTGTGATCCACTCGATGATTGGTTAGTGGTGTGTGATTCGCTTAATGATTGGTTAGTGGTGTGTGATTCGCTTAATGATTGGTTAGTGGTGTGTGATCCACTCTATGATTGGTTAATGGTGTGTGATTCACTCTATGATTGGTTAGTGGTGTGTGATCCACTCTATGATTGGTTAGTGGTGTGTGATTCACTCTATGATTGGTTAGTGGTGTGTGATCCACTCTATGATTGGTTAGTGGTGTGTGATCCATTCTATGATTGGTTAGTGGTGTGTCATCCACTCTATGATTGGTTAGTGGTGAGTGATCCACTCTATGATTGGTTAATGGTGTGTGATCCACTCTATGATTGGTTAGTGGTGTGTGATCCACTCTATGATTGGTTAGTGGTGTGTGATCCACTTAATGATTGGTTAGTGGTGTGTGATCCATCTATGATTGGTTAGTGGTGTGTGATCCACTCTATGATTGGTTAGTGGTGTGTGATCCACTCTATGATTGGTTAATGGTGTGTGATCCACTCTATGATTGGTTAGTGGTGTGTGATCCACTCTATGATTGGTTAGTGGTGTGTGATCCACTTAATGATTGGTTAGTGGTGTGTGATCCACTCTATGATTGGTTAGTGGTGTGTGATCCATCTATGATTGGTTAGTGGTGTGTGATCCACTCTATGATTGGTTAGTGGTGTGTGATCCACTCTATGATTGGTTAGTGGTGTGTGATCCACTCTATGATTGGTTAGTGGTGTGTGATCCACTCTATGATTGGTTTGTGGTGTGTGATCCACTCTATGATTGGTTAGTGGTGTGTGATCCACTCTATGATTGGTTAGTGGTGTGTGATCCACTCTATGATTGGTTAGTGGTGTGTGATCCACTCTATGATTGGTTAGTGGTGTGTGATCCACTCTATGATTGGTTAGTGGTGTGTGATCCACTCTATGATTGGTTAGTGGTGTGTGATCCACTCTATGATTGGTTAGTGGTGAGTGATCCACTCTATGATTGGTTGGTGGTGTGTGATCCACTCTATGATTGGTTAGTGGTGTGTGATTCACTCTATGATTGGTTAGTGGTGTGTGATCCACTTAATGATTGGTTAGTGGTGTGTGATTCGCTTAATGATTGGTTAGTGGTGTGTGATCCACTCTATGATTGGTTAATGGTGTTTGTTATCCACTCTATGATTGGTTAGTGGTGTGTGATCCACTCTATGATTGGTTAGTGGTGTGTGATCCACTCTATGATTGGTTAGTGGTGTGTGATCCACTCTATGATTGGTTAATGGTGTTTGTTATCCACTCTATGATTGGTTAGTGGTGTGTGATCCACTCTATGATTGGTTAGTGGTGTGTGATCCATTCTATGATTGGTTAGTGGTTTGTGATCCATTTTATGATTGATGACTTATGACCTATTTGATTACAGACCGACTATCTTCAGATCAATAAAAGTTTACTTATTCGCTACCTGGAACAAAAAGATCCAAGTAGCACGGGCTAAGGTGAGCCCGTAGCGTAGTGGAACTTATTTGTTATACATATACGACACCGACTTACCTGCTTCGGCCGACGCCAGGGCGGGCATCAGTAGGAGGAGAAGCAGAGGCCACACCTTGAGCCACACCCTCACGCCTCGGACCATACTGGGGCTGTGGTCAGCAGAACCTGTCTGGTAGCCAGCTTCAACATCGGACGTGTTGATCCTGATCGTCCGACGAAGGCTCCTGGATTCTGGTTCGAACCCTAAGACTTGCGTTCGTTCGGACTCTAAGCCTTGCGTTCGTTCGAAGCCTAAGACTTGCTTTCGTTCGGACTCTAAGCCTTGCGTTCGTTCGAAGCCTAAGACTTGCGTTCGTTCGGACTCTAAGCCTTGCGTTCGTTCGAAGCCTAAGACTTGCGTTCGTTCGGACTCTAAGCCTTGCGTTCGTTCGAAGCCTAAGACTTGCGTTCGTTCGGACTGTAAGCCTTGCGTTCGTTCGAACCTTAAGACTTGCGTTCGTTCGGACTCTAAGCCTTGCGTTCGTTCGAAGCCTAAGACTTGCGTTCGTTCGAAGCCTAAGCCTTGCGTTCCTTCGAAGCCTAAGACTTGCGTTCGTTCGGACTCTAAGCCTTGCGTTCGTTCGAGGCCTAAGACTTGCGTTCGTTCGGACTCTAAGCCTTGCGTTCGTTCGAAGCCTAAGACTTGCGTTCGTTCGGACTCTAAGCCTTGCGTTCGTTCGAAGCCTAAGACTTGCGTTCGTTCGGACTCTAAGCCTTGCGTTCGTTCGAAGCCTAAGACTTGCGTTCGTTCGGACTCTAAGCCTTGCGTTCGTTCGAAGCCTAAGACTTGCGTTCGTTCGGACTCTAAGCCTTGCGTTCGTTCGAAGCCTAAGACTTGCGATCGTTCGGACTCTAAGCCTTGCGTTCCTTCGAAGCCTAAGACTTGCGTTCGTTCGGACTCTAAGCCTTGCGTTCCTTCGAAGCCTAAGACTTGCGTTCGTTCGGACTCTAAGCCTTGCGTTCGTTCGAAGCCTAAGACTTGCGTTCGTTCGAAGCCTAAGCCTTGCGTTCCTTCGAAGCCTAAGACTTGCGTTCGTTCGGACTCTAAGCCTTGCGTTCCTTCGAAGCCTAAGACTTGCGTTCGTTCGGACGCTAAGACTTTTAATCTTGAGTTCTCTGCCCCATCTTGTTCTGCCGCCTCGATGTGTTCACCTGAACATTTAGAACTTTCTCTGCCCGTGTGTTTCCCGGCCCGTGTGACAAGGTAACTTTTCAGGTCATGATGGCTATATGTCTCAGTTTTATGTAGCGGGTAAACTTGGAACTTAAAGCTTTGCTGTTGTAATGGTATGCAACACCGAGACACCGGAAAGTGTTCATAAGTGTTCTCTTCGTTATCCAAATAACGTTCACGGACATAGATGTTCACACGTTCCAGCTTCACTGTCTTTTGAACGAGAATAAATTCGTTTAGCTTTTCGTTAAAATAGACGATATTCCCTTGAACGGAGAAAGTCAAGTTAATGATACGAAGTCGTTGACAGCCCGTGCTGATGCTGTCTAGTCGTTGACAGCTCTTACAGCCGCTGTCTAGTCGTTGACAGCTCGTGTAGTCGCTATCAACTCGTTGACAGCTCGTGCAGCTGCTGTCAAGTCGTTGACAGGTCGCACAGCCACTATCAAGTCGTTGACAGCTTGTGCAACTGTTGTCAAGTCGTTGACAGCCCGTGCTGACGCTGTCTAGTCGTTGACAGCTCGTACAGCCATTGTCTAGTCGTTGACAGCCCGTGCAGCCGCTGTCTAGAAGGGTGAAACTAGTGGGAATCTGAAGAGTGGCGAAAGTCTCCCTCATCAGAAGTCTGCAGTCCTCGGAGCCAAGTTTCCTCCTCGCCAAGTCCCGGATGAGCGGGACTTTGTTGAACTCTCTACACGTTACCAAATAAGGATCACTACTCAGCCTACCAACGTGCCAGCGCCGCCAGCTCGTTACTCGTGCATTATTGACAACTTTACAAGTCAGTAAAGTCCTGTTGCTTTCTTTATTACTCATTGTTTCAATAATTTTTTTGTTCATCTTTCTACTCAACAATTTACGGGTCAGGTTATAGGTTATCTTGAGATGATTTCGGGGCTTTTTAGTGTCCCCGCGGCCCGGTCCTCGACCAGGCCTCCACCCCCAGGAAGCAGCCCGTGACAGCTGACTAACTCCCAGGTACCTATTTACTGCTAGGTAACAGGGGCATTCAGGGTGAAAGAAACTTTGCCCATTTGTTTCTGCCTCGTGCGGGAATCGAACCCGCGCCACAGAATTACGAGTCCTGCGCGCTATCCACCAGGCTACGAGGCCCCCGTCTGAAGAGGTCTGAAGATATTTTAACCAAAGATTGAGTCTTTTTGTTTATTAATTATCTTTTTGCAATGTTTAGCTTTATTTAATTGCGGTTATAGACGTTAATTATTGATAGGAAATAATTAATAATTGTGTTCACGTAATTGCTTGTTTGAGCATCTTGATTTTCATTGTTTCTGTGTTGAGAGAGTTTGAGTGTGGTTGTGCTTGCTTGTGTCCTGTCCTGTTATGGCAGCCGGTCGCTCACTGTCATGATTTTGTAACCCATTTCAAAATTGATTGACAATTTAACTAATATAGTAGAGTGTTTCCGGGTCTTATAATCGAGTGTTCGTTGCCATGGTGATAGCTAAACTCTTTATTGTCTCAGTCTTTTAACCTTCATTAAAGGAACACTTGTTTCACTTTGTTATTAAAGCTAATATTTGGCGAAGGAAAATTTTTAATTTTTCTTTCGTTGGTGAATTTTTTTCGGCTGCTCATCACGGTAGAATCATCCATAACGCATTGCCAGAGACGCTAGTGGCTTTAGGTATTGTATGTACTAGCTCTATAAATCCAACATTATGTTTGTAACTCTGCATTTATATATGTACTTTTCCTCAATAAAATATTATTATTATTATTATTATTATTATTATTATTATTATTATTATTGTGTGACATAGAGTATCTTGCAGGAACGCTGTTCTCAGACTGTATTTATTGCTATTGCACCAAGAGCAACCTGGCAGATCAATGGAAGTTTCTTGAAGATTTAACATGAAGTTTCTCGTTAACGGTTCATGACCTCTGCGTGCTCTGGTGCATTGTTCGATGCCCACTTGAAAGCTACACCTGCCATCTTCTTTTTGAAAGCTGAGTTCTTGATTAATCTTCCAGCTTTCTTAGGAATCGTCAGTTCTGGAAAGAAAATGTAATCATTGAGCATTACAAGGCAGATATATATCTGAGTAAAATATTAAGAAAATTAGTGAACAAATATGCTTCTTACACAATGTTAGTGATGTTTACTAGCACATAATACTGACACATGATGGAGAAATTGACAGAGTGGACAAAGACAAACTATTTAACACGGGTGGAACACGAACAAGGGGATAGAGTGGGAACTGAGTACCCAAATGAGTCAGAGATATTAGAAAGAATTTGTTCAGTGTCAGAGTAATTAACAAATGGAATGCATTAGGAAGTGATGTGGTGGAGGCTGACTCCATACACAGATTCAAGTGTAGATATGATAGAGCCCAATAGGCTCAGGAACCTGTACACCTGTTGATTGACAGTTGAGAGCCGGGACCAAAGAGCCAAGGCTCAACCCCTGCAAGCACAACTAAGTGAGTACACTAACAAAAGATATACATACTGACGCACAGGCTACATAATGTGACACATATTGAAATACATTATACACACACGTGACATTACGTATCACGTGATACATACTGACACGTGAAAGACAAACAACAAACAGAAAACATAGAGACAGAGTCACTGAAACAATCCTTTTGGTTCTCAGACTCAGATTTCAGACACAACTCTACGGGAAACACACCAAAAATTTCACTCTTGACCCCATGGAAATCGCATGAGGGTCCTCTGTAAGTGGTAATATTTCTCAAAGTATTTAACTTGGGCCGACACCCAACCAGCTTATGACTGTCCAGTACCCTCCCAGACCATCCCCCATCCCCCTGCAAAGTTAGGTAAGACTGTCCCAAAGGTCTTCCAACCTTGGACAGACAGACAGGTATTTTAATACCGAGTATAAAGCTTTTAACACCAAAACAAACACCAAGGACACATGTACACCAAACACGTGCATATATTAACAGGTGTAGCAATAAGCTCTCGAGCTCACAAATACACAGGTGAGTGTAGCGGAAAACACAGAGTTAGAACAGACAGGGGGTAGAAAAAACAGGAATCCTATTAACGGGATCTGAAACACATTTCACAGGGCCAGAAACATTGCACCTCGTCCAAAGCAACACCGTCAGTGGCGCCGGATAAAATGTATCCATATGTATATATGAGCAAGATGATACATAGATTTGAGTAGACACAAACAAGACAATGCAGCCACGCTAACAACACCATCCTCCCTCCAAACACACACACACACACACACACATCCCGCCAATGGACAAAGTTTTGATGGGGCAGCGTAGTCCTCTCTGTGCAAAATAGCGGGTCATGATCTCTTCTCTCAGCTTACCTCCGTGTTGGAGTATTTGCTGTGGGACCCCCACTATGGCCCTTGTGGCACAGCGGGCGCCAACTTGTGTAAAGCGGCCGCTGCTTGCCCAGCTCATCTCGGAGCGAATAGAGGAGGGAAATTGGGTCATGTGACTAGCAGGAATTATATTGAGTTTTGGGGGGAGGAGGACATTTTCCTGTTAGGGTTATCATGAATCGTGAGGAAGATCTGTGTTATCTTGCCAGGGTGTTTGTTGTTATTGTGTGAGATTTTCAGTGCCTCGTTTGGTTAGTGTCTCTCTCTCTCTCTCTCTCTCTCTCTCTCTCTCTCTCTCTCTCTCTCTCTCTCTCTCTCTCTCTCTCTCTCTCTCTCTCTCTCTCTCTCTCTCTCTCTCTCTTTTAAACTAACACTAGGGTTCATAAAGGATGTCAAATGCTGTGCCTAGTGAAACTGCAAGCAAGAGTTGTTATCCTACCTCAGCTCATCTGAAACCTGAAGTCTCTCTCTCTCTCTCTCTCTCTCTCTCTCTCTCTCTCTCTCTCTCTCTCTCTCTCTCTCTCTCTCTCTCTCTCTCTCTCTCTCTCTCGTCCTACACATAAACACACAAGATACAGCAAACTATCCCCCCCCCACATGTGCTTACAGACTGGTGTACTATCTTAGGAAGTCTCTCACCACAGGCCCTACACACAGCCCTCAGTCTGTCCAGAGCCCATTAGGTCGGACTCACCCACATTATAAACCAGCCTTTACTACCACAGCTGTTCTACTTCATCCCATTACTTGCATCATGAAAAACATCTGCCAGATATAAAGAAAAACAAATGGAAGATCGGATTTTTCCTTTTGGAGTCGTTCCAGTGTGTGCCATCTGTGGCCTGGCACTCATGGTACTAACCCCCTAAAGGCACTACGGGCTCACCATAGCCCGTGCTACTTGGAACTTTTTGTTCCAAGTAGCGAATCTTTAACAACAACAACAACAAACCCCTTCCTTCCCTTCCTCCGGATGTAAGGACCTATCTACTGTTCCATCAAGGGGCTTGGCACTCTGGGAGAGTACCTAATGTAATAATTTATACAATAAACATTTTGATTAAATCTATGAAGTAAATTCGCGAGAAATGTGTTCAAACCTGCGCTATTCTAGACGACCACTGTTCGAATCCCACGCTTGAGTGCCAGAAATGATATATTCATTCCAAACTCCTGTGAATTTAAATCACTTGTAAACGTGTTGATTAATTAAATGTGAAGTTTTAGGAAATGAATTCATATTAAATATTATGTATCATTTTCCAGAGTAAAGTGATCTTATTGGGCCGGAATGTTTAGTCTGGTGTGTGGTCTGACTGTGGTGTTTTGTATTAATTAAACACACCACAAAAGCCCCCCCCCCACAAAAGACTCCCACAAAAGACCCCCATAAAAGACCCCCACAAAAGCCCCTCAAAAAAAAGCCCCCCCCCCCAAAAAAAAAAAGCCCCTCACACAAAAGCCCCCCATAAAAGACCCCACAAAAGTCCCCCATAAAAGACCCCACAATAGCACCCCCCACAAAAGCCAGCCACAAAAGCACACCCACAAAAGCCCCCCACAAAAGACCCCCACAAAAGCCCCCATAAAAGCACCGCACAAAAGCACCCCACAAAAGACCCCCCACAAAAGCCCCCATAAAAGCACCCCACAAAAGCACCCCACCCCCCACAAAAGACCCCCACATAAAAGACCCCCACAAAAGACCTCATAAAAGCACCCCACAAAAGCCCCCCACAAAAGCACCCCACAAAAGCACCCCACAAAAGCACCCCACAAAAGCCCCCATAAAAGACCCCCACAAAAGCACCCCACAAAAGACCCCCACAAAAGCCCCCATAAAAGCACCCCACAAAAGCCTCCCACAAAAGACCCCCACAAAAGCCTCCCACCAAAAGCACCCCACCCCACAAAAGCACCCCACAAAAGCACCCACAAAAGCCTCCCATAAAAGACCCCCCACAAAAGCCCCCCACAAAAGCCCCCCATAAAAGCACCCCACAAAAGCCTCCCATAAAAGACCCCCACAAAAGCCTCCCATAAAAGACCCCCACAAAAGCCTCCCATAAAAGACCCCCACAAAAGCCCCCCACAAAAGCCCCCACCCCACAAAAGCCTCCCATAAAAGACCCCCACAAAAGCACCCCCACAAAAGCCTCCCATAAAAGCACCCCACAAAAGCCTCCCATAAAAGACCCCCCAAAACAAAAGCACCCCACAGCCTCCCATAAAAGCAAAAGCCCCCATAAAAGCCTCCCATAAAAGCACCCCACAAAAGCACCCCACACAAAAGCACCCCACAAAAGCCCCCCACAAAAGCCTCCCATAAAAGCACCCCACCCCATAAAAGCACCCCACAAAAGCCTCCCATAAAAGCACCCCACAAAAGCCTCCCATAAACGCACCCCACAAAAGCCCCCCACAAAAGCCTCCCATAAAAGCACCCCACAAAAGCCTCCCATAAAAGCACCCCACAAAAGCCTCCCATAAAAGACCCCCACAAAAGCACCCCCACAATCGTTGACATCTAGAAAACGACAGACATTTTAGCGGGATTACATTATCATCAGTGAAATGTGTTCAAAACGCGACGACATTCAGACACAAAGCCGGAGCATATTCTTGGGGCCATTCTGC